TTACGATTAATAATAATAATAGTAATATTTTATGTAGTATATAAAATAGTAATATTTATATAGCGTATAGTAATAATTACTATTTTCTCTCTCGAGGAAAAATTATCGAAATTATTATCTGATTACTTTTAGCTTAGAATTCTACATTCTTCTCTTTTACGATTAATAATGATAATAGTAATATTAATAATTATTATTTTCTCTCGAAGAAAAAGAAATTATCGAAATTATCATCCGATTAGCTTAGAATTTTACATTCTTCTCTTTTACGATTAATAATAATAATAGTAATATTTTATGTAGTATATAAAATAGTAATATTTATATAGTATATAGTAATAATTACTATTTTCTCTCTCGAGGAAAAAAAAATTATCGAAATTATCATCCGATTACTTTTAGGTTAGAATTCTACATTCTTTTACGATTAATAATAATAATAGTAATATTTTATATAGTATATAAAATAGTAATATTTATATAGTACATAGTAATAATTACTATTTTCTCTCGAGGAAAAAAAAATTATCGAAATTATCATCCGATTACTTTTAGCTTAGAATTCTACATTCTTCTCTTTTAGGATTAATAATAATAATAATATTAATGATTTTCTCTCGAGGAAAAAGAAATTATCGAAATTATCATCCGATTACTTTTAGCTTAGAATTCTACATTCTTCTTTTTTATGATTAATAATAATAGTAATATTAATAATTACGTTTTCTCTCGAGGAAAAAGAAATTTTCGAAATTATTATCCGATTACTTTTAGCTTAGAATTCTACATTCTTCTTTTTTATGATTAATAATAATAGTAATATTAATAATTACGTTTTCTCTCGAGGAAAAAGAAATTTTCGAAATTATTATCCGATTACTTTTAGCTTAGAATTCTACATTCTTCTCTTTTACAATTAATAATAATAATAGTAATATTAATAATTACGTTTTCTCTCGAGGAAAAAGAAATTTTCGAAATTATTATCCGATTACTTTTAGCTTAGAATTCTACATTCTTCTCTTTTACAATTAATAATAATAATAGTAATATTAATAATTACGTTTTCTCTCGAGGAAAAAGAAATTTTCGAAATTATCATCGGATTACTTTTAGCTTAGAATTACATTCTATAGCTTAGAATTACATAGCTTAGAATACATAGCTTAGAATACATTCTTCTCTTTTACAATTAATAATAATAATAGTAATATTAATAATTACGTTTTCTCTGGAGGAAAAAAGAAAAAAGGAAAATGGACTCGATCGACTCCTTCTCTTTCTTCGTTCGTGCAGTTGAGCGAGATTTCGAATCGCGATTTTCGTTTCTCGTTACGGGTCTCGGTACTATCCCTGGCGATAAATTAGAGATAAACATGCACCGTTCCACCAGCCAGCCGTCTTCCTCCAACGCGATTCCATCGCCTTATCGTCTATCACCGCCTTTTTCCCCTGCCTAAATCGCGCGCATTTTTATAGGCAATTATATCGACGAAAGGGTCTGACCCACATTCACCCCTTGTATTTTCCTCTCCCTCCGGATATTGAGAGAAAGAATATATATATATATATATATATATGGAGAATAAATTCTTTATTATTGCACGTTATTCGGAGGAAAGAGAGAGAAAAAGGGAGAAAAGAAACTGGTGGCTCGATAACTTTTATGATCAGGCGATGTTTCCCTCCCCTATCTTTGTTACAAATTTATCCGCTGCAATGTCGCGACGAGAGGCAGCCAGAGAGAGAAGGGAAAAAGCCGAGAAGAGGGGGTGGTGCTTCTTGTTAGTTAACGTCTCGCGTTTCCTGGGGATCCGCCTCACCGTTTCCTCCATATTGTAGACGAATAATAAAGCGGTATTCTTTATCACCTCGAAACCCTTTGACATTGTATTCCTTTGTAAGGATCGACAAGGAAAGCGACGACGAAGGCGAGGGAAAGGGAGAGAGAGAGAGAAACGGGGGAGGAAATTCAGGCTGACGGCTTATCAACCGTCGCGGAGCATAGCTAAGAATGATACAGCGGTGCACTTAGTTGTTTAATCAAACTGGATGAAAAGAGCGCTAGTTTCGTTATCTTTTGTACCGTTCCACCCTTTTGTCCCGGCTAACGAGAAGACAAAACGAATGCATTTGGTTCAAGAATTCTACCTTTTTCCGGAAAAATTAACATGACAGCAGCTAGGTGAAAGAGAAAGGAGGGAAAGAGAGAGAGAGAGGAAAAAAGAAACGGAGGACGCGACGCCTTCTCGTCTCGAGAAACGAGAAGGAACGTTCTTCACGCGTAGGAGGAAGAAATTTGTATACCTTTCGATAGACAGAAGGAAGAAGACACTGTCTATGGATATCCACATCTCGAATCGAGCGTCTTTCCAAAATACCCCGATCCCCTTTAATTAAACTAGAGACAAAGTTTCATTACACGTGTCTTATCTTATCGTTCCTGTTTGCTAGGAAGGAAAACGAGAGGAACGAAATGAACGTTACTGCAACAACAAGATTCCCCCTCCACACATGTTCCTTCCAACGTTCTCGTATCCTCACATCAGAAGGATAAAGGATATATACGAATAAGTTTAACCCCCTCCTTAAAACAGGCGGACAAAAGTTTCCTCTCCTTCTTTGCCTCCTCTTTCGAGTTCAGAGATCGCGTTTCAATTAGGGAGGAAAGGAAACGAAGGGGGCTAGTTTGGGGAGCAGAGAAACATTGGCTCCAGGGATAGGCAGGGGGTTAGCCAACAAGTAGATAAAACGAAAGGAGGGGGAGACACCTCGGCTTACCGGCCGGGGACCGTGCCAAATCCAAGAGACGTCTCCTCGAACTTGTTTCTTTTTTCCATATCCCTCCTTTACGAGCTCCAGCCCCTCCTATTACGCATTCTCTCTCCTTCCTTCCTTCTCTCCTTCCTCCGGAATTCGTTCGCCCAAGATAATTCGAAATCGATTCGAAACGGGGCCAGTCGAATCGCGTGGCGCGCGGATCAAGGATTTCTTCCTTCACCCATTCATCCCTTCGTTTCTCCCTCCTCCGATTGTTTCATAATCTCGACCAGCTAGCGCTCCGAGGATGGAGGATTTCTTTCTCTTGGATTTGGAATCGGGACGGGCGGTTAATTAGCCCGCCATTTCGATCGATCCTGTCGAGGGGGTGGAAGAAGGGGGTCGTCGTTATTCTAACTCGCGGCGATCGATCCGCACGGATGAATTAAAAACGGAAACGGTGAGGGAGAGAGGGATTGAATCGACGGGCTTAATCGGATGGAATCGATCGGAAGGATCGAAAACACGGGAACTCGATTAAACCGAATCGTAATCTATGCAACCCTCCTAGGGCGGTCCACAAGCTTTGCCCCGCTTAGCATAGGTTAAGACCACCGGTTTGCTCCTCCAGTCAAGACTTAAACTATATATATATATATATATGTACTTCGTTAAATCCTTTTCTCTTTCTTTTCTTGTATTATATTCGAGAACGCGCCGTTCACTCGATGGAACGAGATCGCCATTTTCCATTTACCCGGCGGAGGGGGGACGTTTCGATAAAATCAGGGAGGAATAAACAGAAGCCCATGCATCGATAACCATCTCGTCGAGAAGTCGAATATTACCTCTCTCGCTTCGAAGAAAGAGGAAAGTTGGACGTTTCCATTTCTTCCATCTCTCGTTTTCTCTCCAGCTGGGAATCGGCCCCTCCCTTTCTCGCGGAGAGAACGGTACCCTCTCGGAGAGGGGTTTCGTTTGTCTTTTATCCCTCTCAACTTGCAAGCACTACTTCCCGTTTCTTTGCAATTTTCGTTACAATTATATCGCGACTGGGGGATGAAATAGTTCTCTCTGGGCCTGCTTCTCCCTTCAACTGTTGCGCGAAAAATGAAAAGAGAGAGAGAGAAAGGAGAAAAGTTAGGTATCAGGGATTGCGACGAGAGGAAGGAAAGTTGGCCCCGATGGGGGCAAAACTCGGATAACGACGCGTCGATCGGTTGCCACGTAGCTCGTTTCGCGTGCTCCAGACAGCATGTATAATGAGTTCGTAAACGCGCGAGCGTTAATTAGAACGCCTTAAGGATCGTGCGCCAGACTCTCCTCCTCGGTTTGCCCGTTATTAATTCGATTTTCCTCCACGGTTTCCCCGAAAGCGAGCCGCCCCCTTTGATCCTCCCCCGTTCGTCGAGCATTCGGGGATCACAGCGTTCTCCTTCTTCTAATCAGATTTCGCCAAGGAGTAAACGGGGATCGGGGACTAACTTTGCCCCTAAATCCATTCGCCGGGATTTGGATATTCCATCGGCGGACTAACTCGTTTAACCCTTCTCCTCACCTCCATCAACGACCCCGATCCTTCGCTATTTACATATATATATATATATGGAAACGTTTCTCTTATTTTCCAAAAATTAAAAGTTAGAGGACTCGTGAAACGATTCC